TTGACAGATCGAAGAAAAAATTTTTTACAAGCTTCACTAAAAAAAAAAGATCATAAATTATCAAAGAAATAAATTTAATCCTTACCATGTAATCGAACCACAATGCCATCCACTTGCATTTTCTCCACATACTTGACATGGTTCTGAACGAAAATCTTGAAGATAAATTGCATGTGTTGATGTCTGTTCTGTATACGCCATATGTATTTAATCAAATATGAAACAATAAACTAGTAGATCAGATGTTTCAATAAGAATATTTTTCTTTTTTCTATAGAAAATATAGTGACCTTATTCTCCCTTCTCACTGTTCGTATCAGTATAAACCATCGCGTATGAGTAATGCATTTTGCGTTCACACTCGTTTAGAATATATATATATATATGTATACATATGAGAGAAAGTGATCATAAAAATAAAGTATAGATCATACAATCTGAACTATGAATGTATACATTTCAAAGGAAAGAAAAAGAAGAAATTGAAAATTTGCATGACTCGATCAGTCCATTTATCATGATAATTTGAACATTGCAATGTTTAACTGAGGAAATGAAATTCAGTTGGGATAGTTTATATGTATATATGAAGAAAACGTTTCATTGAACGAATAAATTCATTGCAATAGAACTATAACAAACGTAGACCATATATATGATTCTCTTCCCAAGAGATGAGATGACCGATTGTCCGACTTGATTATGTATTCTCTCTGTTCTTTAGATAAAAATATAAAACGTCTGACAGATACTTAATATATCATTTAGTTTGTTTTATAATATTGAATGATTCGTAAATGTTCTTTTGCTTTAATTTATATTTCAAACAGAAAAAAAAAATTAAAACACAGTAGAGAAAAAAATAACCAGTGAAAAGTTTAACTCATCGGGTAATACAAGTATTTTCTTACTTTTTGTTTTTTTTTCAACGATAAAACAATTATTTGTAGTCGATATTAACATAAAGAGTATAGAAATATCACAAGATGCAAAGACATATAAATATAATTTGCGTTAATTCTCTCTTTCTTCAATTCGAGTTTAATAATGAAAGCAACAATTACAGAAAAGAGAAACAAACAAAGTTTATGTAACAATAAAAACAAAAACGCGTCTTTTTTTTTATCTACTTTTCTATTTTTTTTTGTTTTCGAAATATTTTTTCGTTTAAAAAAAATAAAATATAATAAAACATATGATGCATCACGAAGTGATAGTTAAATATGAAGAGAAGAATATCCATATTGCATTATTTATAACTATCAAAACTTAGTAATTTTCTCCTCTCACAAGAAGAAAGAATCCGATCACTCGGGAAAAAAAGAAATTGAGAGAGAATAAGAAAATACACACACACATCTATGTTTCATATAACGCATTCAAACAGCAGATTTTCGTTGAAAATTATTTACTAATCCACTTTTTAAACTGGTTGTTACTGTTTCAAGTGTGGATATTTTCATACGAAGTTCAGTATTAACACGTTCATATTCTTCACTAGAATGAGAAAAAAAATTCAATAGAAATAAAAATAATTTTATTTTTATTTTATTTACCATTGTTGATCCATACTACCGAATTTTTCTCTTCGAGCAGCTCGAGACATTTTTGATGCTTCGTTATTTTTACGGCGTCGTTCTAGATAATATGATAAATCATCTGATGTTTTTATATCTGTTGCACGATTTATATTTCGAGTACGTTTTGATTTTGCTGAATTAGCTTCTGATGTTGTTGAACATACAGCACGAGATTGAATTCGAGAAGATGTTCGACGTGATCCACGTGTGGAAGTTCGTTTGGAATTTGGTTTTTTTTTAGGAAAAAAATCATGATCATGTTCAAAGGCATTCAAAGCATTTTGATTTGATGCTGTTGTTGTTGAATCAATTGAAGGACACAATAATGAATTATCAGTTTCAATTAATAATGGTGAACGGAACGTATTGTTAGTTGTAAGTTCCGGTGAAAGTGGTTGAAGTTCAGAAAATGACGATGATGAACAAGCATTTACAAGTGGATTTTGTGCTGCTGATGTTGCCATTAATTGATCGAATGATGCAGATCGTAACTAAAATAAAAATATTTTATTGTTTTGTACATACTATGCAATTGTGAAAATAATTTATTTTTATACTTACAAATTCACTGAGTGTTCGAGCATTAAGTAATTCAGTTGAATCTAACTTCTTTAATTCATTCATATCAATATTTACATCATTAACACCAGCTTCACTTAATAATCTTTGTAAAGAAAAACTGTTTCCATTTGTTAAAAGCTCGTTCCATTTGTCAAATGATTCCAAATCTAATATAAAAAAATAATAATGTAAAATGAAAAAAATTGTTTTTTTTAATTTAATTCTAACCTTTGTTAAATAGGCCACTTGTCTTCAGGAAGGAACGTAGTTGAATACTGAGATTCGACCATGTTAAAGGCGGTTGAGTTGATGGTCGATTCCGACGGCATGAAGAAGTCTCTTCCTCCTCCAAAATCACCGTCGAAGTCGAATCCGAACGGGTCAAAGTCGCATGAGTAGGACTGTCCGAGTTCGAATGTGTATGTTGCGTTTCGTTTATCTGCTGCTGCTGTTGTTGTTGTTGTTCTTGTTGCTGATGCATATGACTGGTGTGATTCATTGTAGGGGTCGACATTGCGATTGCGCTCGTCGTCACTATGAAACATGCCCGAGTTGCCGAACAGCTTAATAAAACACGATATTTTTTTCTTCCTTTCCTTCTTTTTTTTCTTTCTTCCTTTTTTTTCTCTGACGCTTTTTTTTTGGTTCTTTCCTCGCTCGTCAAATATTCTTTACCAACGTCGATAATATAGTTGTAATATTATTAATAACAGATAGTATTTATATATTCTTATGAAATACTTGCATACAATATCGGTCAACTCAAACCAACCTTTTATATCTATTTGTATTAGTCTTTGTTTTTGCCGCTTACAACAACCAGAAGAAATGCATTTTTATTATGTATCTAAAATTAAAGCAAAAAATACATAAGTGTTTGTTCTTTCTTTACGATGTCCTCAAAAAAGAAATGCACACGTTTGAGGCAGAAAGAAAAAAACGAAAAGCAAATATTATGAAGTATTGTTGTCTTATTCATAAACGATTATGATAAATGAAAATTATAGAAAATAAATTTAATAAAAGAAGAGTAAAAAATAATTATTTGATATTTAGGAGAGAATATATGCAGACAAAAACAATATGTAATTGTGAAATTTACCTTTAATGAATTAAATATTCGAGAGATAAAAAATGATTGCAAAAGTCTGTCTATTCTTTATGTATTTGTATACAAAAATGAAATATTTTTAACGATAGTAATTGATTATTACATTTCTCACTTGGAATAGGATAAAATGAAAACGATAGAAAAAATGCCGTGTTACTAGGTCATTTTATGGGAACGTCTTTCGCTGATTTCTCTCTATTTTTTTCTCTCTACCCCTCTATTAGTGACATCATAATGTGTCAAAAATGAGCAGAGAAACAAAGGGTTAAGAACGATAACATTGTCATTACACATAAATTTCGTAACAATCAAAGGGTAAATGAAATATTTCCTTTTCTTTCTTTTACCCCACTTCTATCAATATCTTGATCTGTACCAATTGGGCTAAAACAACCATAAGAATATCTTGTCTATGCAGAATCATCCTCCTCCTCAATCTAACAAGTGGGAGAAAACCCACTAGATTGAATTGTTTATCATTAACATATGTGAGCTTTTGTTCTCTTCATAATATTACTAAACCTGTCTAGTAAAAAAACAACTATATTTGGTAATCATAAGATATAATAAAAATGTCAATAATAAATAATATCTATAAAAGTTTTTTATTGATCAACCTTTTGCGGTATCTATGTAGACAATTTATTTCGTCATGTAAACCTCAAATTGCATCATTCTTGCGCAATTCTTTCTATTGCATGAGTCAAGAATGATTGAAATTGTGCAACTTCGGAAATAAACAATAATTTTAGATACCTATTATTAACAAATATAATATAATGATTGATAGATAGTTATTAATAGATCTTAAAATTTTACCGAATTAATTTTATTGCATAATAAATGAAAAAAGTTCTTACTTCTGTTTGAATTTCGTATGAAAGTAAAACGAAAATATATTTATATGATTTCCTTTTAAAAGGAAAACTCCAACAAATTTTTTTTTCAGCGAGGGTAAAAACCAGTTGTCATAAAGTACATATATTCTGTACTGTCTATTAAAAATATATAAAGAAAAACATATACTATTTACAACAGCATTACTTTTAGACAATGCTAAACTAAATCCAGTAACGTCGAAATTACTAACAATTTTCAAATACTCATTATTCATCACATACAATAGTATTTCAGATCGAGATAATAAATAATTACTTTACTAGAAACAGCAGGATACATTTCGATCTTATGAATCATTATTGAGTAAGTTGTAGTTTGGTATTTATATGAGTAATATAGTTATTTGATCTATGAAGAGTAAAATCACAACACTTTCATATTTTAAATCATTCTTACTTTCTCATTTTTGACAAACATAGAATAACTTTATTCTTCTATTTCTTCTATTTCTTCTAGAATAATCTGTCTATGAGTTCATCATCTATATCATTTCGTATGTAAAAAATCTCGTATCTTTTCTATGATTTATGTTTCTATATTAATCAGATTCTTCTTCAATGCCTATTACTACCGTTATACCACATGATATTTGTCAAACTGACTATGATCTATCAATACCATCAATTAATTCTCATCAAGATAATAACGTGTTTGAATACAATTCAAAACCAACAGTAATGACTCATTTCATTGATAATTGGATGATTCGAGAAAGTTTAAAGCCATTTCAACAAAAAAGAAATAAGTCATCGTTACCATCCAAACAAAAACTACAAGTTTTTCCAAACAATTCTAATATTCGTCAGTGGAATGTAAGTTATCATTGATATACTAATTATCATTTCGTATTAAGAATAATAATAAGACAGGTGAACGTAATTTAAAAAAATAAGTTGAACTAGAATCTTAAATGAAAACTTCCGATGCTCTTTTCATTTATTTCCCTAAACAGATAGATAGATAGATCTTGCAAGATTCGATGTGAGAGATTTTATATTAGTTATTTAGTTCATTATTAATAAAATCTATATCTAATGAATTTTTTTCTTTATTTAGATTAATCAAGTATGTTCATTTTTCAAACATGTTCTCGGCACGAATTGTTATGAATCTATAATCAAAGAACATCTTATTGATGGAATAGCTCTTCTTCTTCTACAAGATAAACATTTAATTCAGTTTTTTAAAATGGAATTAAGACATCGATTTAAACTAATCAAAAGGATTAATGAACTTAAACGATGAGAATTTTGCAATGTATATTTTTATAATTTTGTTACCTTATACATATTATTTATTGTTGTTTGCTAATCTTAAGATCATATTTCAGTTTTAATAAGTATCTTGAAAGCAGTGTACAAATGGAAAATTGATCACAGCTGTCCCTCATTTTTAAAGGATATATATGCATGTACAATGAAACTCTGTTCGCTTGCAAGGTCACAAATAAATAATTACTGGTTAATAAGATAATTTATATTGTAGGAGAGATAGTCATGCAACTGTGTTTTTCATTTAAACTAGAAGAGTTTTTTCGCGTAAATAAACAGATCATTCTCAACAGATTCTTTAAAATAACTTATCAGCATAAACGAGATTTCTTTATTAAGAAAATAAGTTGCTCTTACAAATAGAGTAACTGCAATAAATTCTCTCTATGTTAAAGTGTCGTTGATAAATAGCAAATTTGATATAGATAAAATGCTGAAAACTCTTACACATCATAATAATATTCGTTCAGTACTACTGTAAAACTATGAGAATATTTAATCAATGATATCAAGTTGTGGGAAAAAAAATTCACTAACATACCTTCCTTATTTTCAGCGTCCGCGATAGCGGGGGGGCTGTGAAGGGGTGTACACCTTCCCAATAATTGGAACTTTTTGTTATTTTTTCAACGATGTGAGCTGATTTAGAACAAATTTTGTGTTTTTTTGGCAAATTTTGCTCTGAATATCCTTTTACACTCCCAAAACCTTTTACACTCTTTCAGAACTCGCTACACCCCTCCCCCATCTTAGACCCTTCGCGCGGGCGCTGCGTATATTATTATTATGAAAAGACTCTCTCGATCTATTTTTGCTTGTTAGATTATAGATTTCCTATCAATTCGTAAAGGCAACTATTCAAAAATCAATATTAGTCATATATATATAACAAGTAAATTTTATTTCTTTTGAAATTTTCCTTGTATAAAAACTCGTGGTACACATATTTCTTCTTTAACATTTACTGTTTCTTTAAATACATATGAAATTTCATCAGTATTGAATTGTGATTCATTTAATAAATTTGTTAAATATTCAATTGAAAAAAAATAAGCACGTGTACCATCTTGTCGAACATAAAAATTTTCGGATAATTTATGTTGTCGTTGACGTGCAAAACGAAACATTGCATGATCATATAAACCATAATCACGAAATAGAAGATAACCACCGGGTTTTAAAACCTATTAATCAATACAATTCATGAATATTTTTTATAGAAAAAAGAATAAGAACAATTTTCTTACTTTAGAAATTTTCTTCAATACACAAGACATTTTATCTGGATGTATTGCAGAAAGAACAAAAATCATTGAACAAATATCAATTGAATTTTCTTCAATGGGTATTTCTGTTTCATCAGTTAAATCATAAACAAATGATTGTATACGTTGTTGGTCATAATTCGGATTTTGACGAAGAAGTTCAATAGCAGTCGATGAAAAATCACATGCATAAATAGATAAATTCGGTAATTCATTAAGTAATGGAAATAAAAAATTGCCTACACCACAACCAATTTCAAATAATTTCATTTTTTCATTTAAATCTATATTAAATTCTCTTAATGTCCAATGACGATCTTTAAAAAAATTACTGGTATTTCGTTTATAGAATTGATCCCAATGTTTTTGTGCATTTTTATCATAAAGATTCTGTTTAAAAACTGGTACTTGTTGACGATCTTGTTTTTCAGGTGCATATAAACATTCATATTCATCCTCAGTTATAACACGTTCTGTATTTGAACGAGAACCATGAATAGAATTACTAATACTATTATTATCTGTCATATTATCTGTAAGAAAATATTCATAAAAAAAGTTAATCCGTTATACAGTTTATTTTAAGAAATAGTCTAATGTAAAAATTAAAATAAAACTAGAAATAGTTTAACTTGTAGATTTATTCTTTTCATCATTTGTTTTCGGTACATCTTCAAGATCAGGCATTGGTTCATCATCACTATCGACTTCATCATCCTCAAGATCATTCAAATCAGTTGCAGATGAACCACCTAAATCACCACCCATTTGTTTGAGCATTCCATCTAAAGTACAAAAAAGAATTATTTACATAATAGATATTTTTATGAAAATTATTTTACCTAAATTACCCCAATCTTTACCACCTAAATCACCTTCTTCATCATCATCTATTAATTTAATAAATATAAATATATAAACTCATTTGTTTTTTTAATAATAAGATTTACCTTCGGCGGCAAAATGATCCCAATCAACGGCAATCCATTGACACTATACATAAAAAATAAAATAAGAATAGAAAATTACAAACTTACTTTTTCTGTTGATTTGATTAAACGTTTCCAAAATGGTTTTTTCGGATCTTTCTTTTTCAGCATAAATACCCAATGATTTTGACTTGCTTTATGATATTTAGATGTCTAAAATATTTAAATATTGCTAGACGAATTTTGATATGAAACATATATTTTAAATAAAGCTAACTTACGTTTGGATCAATTTCATCGAAAAATTCGAGTGTTGTATCATAATTCAATTTTTTTGCTTGTTGTCCTCTAGAAGAAAGCAATTGTTTAAGAAATTATATTTTATTCGCAGTCATTTACTTGAAATGAAGTTTCGTTGGTTCAATAGTAATTTCAGGTTTATCAATATCTTGTACAGCAATTGTTAATAAAATGTGATCTTTTTTTTGACCCCATTTTATTGATGGATGATTACTCGCCCTAAGAATTATAATATTAGATATATATTTAATATAGTCAAAATGCTACATACATTTAGTCTTCTCTTCGCTTAGAATGTACTAAATGAGTAAAGGCTAAAAAAGAAATAAACAACAATTGTTACTGGTTAATTTCAATAGACCAATCAATTTTTTCTTTGAATGTATATTGGTTTTATACATCCATTTATTCCAGTACATTTAAATAAACTATGAGTTTAAACTCACTAGCAAACGATCCTGAATTACAAAAATTCGTTGCAGCAAAAGAACTCGAAAATCAATTAGCTGCTCAAGTATTCATTTTTTTCTTTCATTAAATTAAATCTCTATATATATTGATTTTCTAGGTTCATCATTTAACAAATATATGTTTTGATAAATGTCTTGAATCAAGTGGTAACGTTAGTGAATTATCATCACGACATACAACATGTTTACAAAATTGTGTTGATCGTTTTCTTGATTGTACAATGTTGATTACAAATCGAACAATTCAACGTATGCAACAAGGACGTTAAAATTAGTTATTATATTCTTCTTTTTGATTTTTGTTTCATAAAATAAAGATTTTGTTTAGTTATGATTTTTAATATCTTTTTCTCATTTCAGATCTTTATTATTATTAAATATACATAAATGGCTTTTCGTAATTTAACACGTGGTTTATTTCAACTTGCTAACAATCGACGATTATATTCATCGATTTCACAACAAATTTTTCTTCGAAAACCAATTGTTAATCAACAACGATTCATACCATTTCGTTCATTTGCATCATTACAAACAAATGATGATGCTTATAAAGATTTAAATAAATTTCTTGAGAAAGAAATTCAATTAGAAAAAACCGCACAAAAACATCCAAGTAAATTACCAAAAATTCAAGACTTCGAGGTAGAAAATATCTTTTTCTTTATTATCAAAAAAACAATTTTTTCGTTTAGGTTCAAAGCAATGGTCCTGAAGTAGTATTAACTCGTCAATCGGGCAATGAAAAAGTTACTGTTACATTTAATGTAACAAATACAGTAAACACAAGTGACTCTGAACAAGAAGCAGAGTTAGATGCAGCAGGACAACCACAAGCAAGTGGTGATGCAGCTCAACCATCCGCTCAATTAAAATCACGACCAACATTTACTGTTGATATTAATCGTGGTGGACAAACATTATCATTTATATGCTCTTATTTACCATATGATTATCCAAGTGCACCAGAACATCAACAACAAGGAGAAGATGATGGTAAAAATGAACAATTAGAAGATTTTCAAATCGATGAATTTGCTATTCATGATGGAGAATGGAATGAAAAGGTTTACAGCGCTGATTGTGCTGTTATTGATGGAGAACTTTATGATAAATTACTTAATATACTTGAAGAACATGGTATTGGAGAAGGTTAGTAAATTTATTAGTTTCAATTGAATATCAGAACAAGTGCAATGCACTATTAGATTCAAGTTTTATTAAATGAATATATATTAGATACATTCTAAATTAGATTACGGAGCCCCACGCATATTTCATTCAAATCTTCTATTTTTTTCTTGCTTTTCTCTCGATCGTTCTATGTGTATATAATCCCAATTCTTTCTTTCCTGCATATATAAAAGATACATACATATATATATCGTCGAATCTCCCTTCCATTTCGGACTATTCAAATTTAATTCTATTGTTCGACAGGAATATATATATATACAATACAATATCTAATGTGTATTTATTTTATTTTAGAATTTGCTAATCAATTGATAGATCATTCTACCGCTTATGAACATCGTCAATACATTGGTTTACTTGAAAAATTACAACAATTTTCCAAAAAATAGAATAGATACTAAAATTTTGTACCCGTTATAGTTTATGTTATCGAAATATAAAAACCTAACATGATTGTTCATCCTTATGTTAAGAATAAAACTTATTGTTTTCTTTTCTCGTTTTCTAGATAATATTCATCATGTCAATGATATATTTTACTATTTGTACATTATTATTTGCATCAACAATCTCCGCTTTACGTGCACCAGCTGTTGTTTATTCAGCTATTATAGAAAATGCATGTGATACACCAATTCAATGTAGTATAGTTTGGTCACAAGTATCAGGTCAAACATTACAAAGTGGTTTATTTACTATTGCAAATAAACAAAATTATTTAGTTAATGAACATGAAACAACCATAGATACATGGAAAGCTCGTTCAATAATCCAAGAAATACATTGTGGAAAATTAGTACTTGCTGCTCCATTCGATAAAGTTATATCACCACAAACAAATTGGAAATTTGTTGTTCAATCAGATAAAATTGTATCAGTTGGACCTAATAATTAAAATGTACACAACTAACTAGTCATTTCCTTTTCTTTTTTTGTATATTCGAATTATTTCTCTTAAATGAATATTTAAATATGTCAAATAAAATAAATTCCTCATTTCAATTCTATCTTATTCATAAATTTAGATAATATATTATGTTACGATATAATCTATTATCAATATATCGTCCATATGTTATTAATACATTAATTAGACGAACATTATTCGGTCGAGCGAGTTCAACGAAAAAAATAAAAGATGATTTCGATGAAGCAATTATTGAACAACCAGATGCTGTACCACAATCGGCTGTTCCAACTGTTACGGAATTAGCATCATATAAAACGAAAAAATATCTTACACGTTTAGTTACTTGTCGTCCATA